AGGTAGAGCGACGCGCTCCGTACTCAGGTCCCTTTGTCAGTTAATGGGTCCGGCAGTTTGTTGGGGAGGCCTGTTGGCCGCGTTCTCGGGTATCCAGCTCCAATGGACGCACAGGGGATGTGGATTGGAGGTGATAAGCCATGTGCACCCACTTGGACCACTCCCCCTCTCCCGATACCATTACCTTACAACCATCCCGAAAGGACTGGTCGGCATTCAGTGTCATCTGAGGCTTCCTTAAACTGTTAGCAACGCGTTTATGTTCGACTAGAACAGGCCTTTCCAAAAATCGTGCCGAGTTGCAATTAGTCTCGCAACCACTGGATCCCTACGCATCGATTCCGCGACGGCTAAGGGAAATATTAATTATGGATTTGGGTATGGAAGGAGGATGCCGCCTACTACATGCCTACAAAGGAGGAACGAATAATTCTAAAATGAATTTCCGTTCAAAATTAACAAAGTGAACAAATTAACTATGATATTTGTATTCAAACGAGTGGTTCTTCAACAGCACATACGTTCTCGCATTGTTTATAACTTTTGCAATTTTCAAAAATTGAGTGTTCAGCAAAATGGAACTAGCACCACCTTTTTACCATCCTTTGATACGTACGAAAAGCAAATTTAAAGAACAAATTTGGAGCAGGTTTTGAGAAAAAAATTTTAAAATTGTCTATTTCACCCGAAATTACACAACTACTTTCAAACAAATGAACAAGATGTTTTTAAATATCTCTTTAGAGAACACATTTAATTACGAAAAGAATCGCTATCTTCGATATTGTACAACCATGAAGACACTGAAAAATTAAGTTTAACTTTAGCAATTTCAAAAAATTAAGGATTGTAACACACTTAGACCTGGCGTCATTCTTCCAAGTGTTTTCTACGCTATAGAAGATCCAAGTTAAATAAAACCTAGGAACCATTTTTATGAACATTTTAAAAATATTAAGACTGCATGTAAATGCCCTCAAAATCAAAATATCCGTTTCAGACAAGCAAGGCCTTGAGTTCATTTCGATTCATTGGGGAAGATCAATTTTGGAGAAAATCATCTAACTGGTTTAAAGTTGACCACAACCACTGCGACACAGACAAACCGACGGACGAACGGACAAACGGACGTTTAACCTTCAATCAATTTTTCAAGAACCCCCAAATCATGGATTTTGATTATACCACGTGTTGATTACAGAAGATTTATCCACTTTTTATTCACCGTCAATAGGAGTTTTTCTGTCAAAATTCCTTGTTTTGTGGCGCACGATTGCAATTCTATCTCTTCCTACGAAGTAAAGCGAGAAAATAAAAATATGAATTCTTATAGAAAAACTAAACAAAATCTACCGTGTTTGTATCGTACGTATTTTAACCTCTTTCTAGACATCTGGCCGTGTAGATATCGCTTCCTTTTCGGTTCCCTGGAATTATTGATATGCAAACCTCGTGGCACTTACCTAATTCCCATTTCTCACGTCGATGAAACCCGCCAACCGCTACTTATCGATTAAACTGGCCACATCTCATCTTCCTATCAAAGCACGCGGTTGCTAGTCACGAGTTAACGGGATGGAATCACGCGTGGAGAGAGAGAGAGAGAGAGAGAGAGAGAGAGAGAGAGAGAGAGAGAGAGAAGGAGGAGGAGACACACACACACACACACACACACACACACACTGGGAATTAACATCCTCCGAGTGTAGCACTCGGCTGCATACCCTACGGCACCCGAACGAAGGGCCTGATACAAAGGGATCGAATCGAAAGGGTGACGCATGGTGGGCGGGGCAGCCCGTCATAAAATAACACACGGGTCAATAACCGTGCCTACGCACGACTCGAACACACGACCTGTCAAATCGAGCACGCTACTGCGGTCGTCGTACCTCAGTGATCGCATCCATCGGGCTGGCTTCGTAATTTACTGTACTGCAGAACTAGGTAAACTAGTAGTACAAGGAATATTATTAGTACTTCTTGTATTTACATTAATATCCGTTTATAGTATGCATTATGGCATTTTATTTTTATTTACAATTCTATTACGTGGATACAAGTCGTTGGCTCCTTCAATAAATGAACTGAATTTCATGAATAATATTATGTTTGCGGATGTAATTAATATAGTTCGTCATGGAAGACATTTCTCACATGTATATAGAATCAAACCACACAGAAACGGTAATTATTAATACAGCGTTTCCCGCTCATCAGGCAAGTGTAGACTGCTCCTTCTGTGCGCTCCTCTCGGTGGCTGCGTGGGATCATCTCGGGAAAGCCCCACCCCCTTCCCCTGCCTCTTCCCGCCCTGCCATCCCCCTGACCGCCTCCGGGGTTGATCTCGAAGAGAAAGGTTTGGTTGGAACTGACCTGGAGAATGTTAAACGTTTGCGGTCCTCCGAACTCAAATTTCAGAAGGCGATTCCTCGAAATGTAATTCCGTGAAGGGAATTGACTGATTTGTGTGCCCAGGCGCGTTATTACTGTAAGTGTATTACTTGTTATATTCTGAAAGATAGCGGCGTTCTTCCCACACCAATATCCGACGCAGACCTAAACGCCAGATCTCAGGTGTTACCCCCCCCTCCAGAGTATGTTGTCAAACGGAACAAGCACTAAGGTTCCGACAGGTTTCCCGTCGTATGTGGCGCAGGATATTTGTTAAGCATAATTTTATGGATATAAGTGATTTTATTGTGTGTCTGATGTCTTTTTTGATTTATGACCGAGTTTTATGCAATCATTTGAGTTTTGGCCTGAACAGAAACTAGGATGATTCTATAAAACTAAGAAGTTTCCCTTTTAATTTGAATAAGTAACGTTCTGTATTGAGTAAAACATGAAATAAAATCAATAGTGAAGTGTTGATGGGGAACACTAATTAGCACTATGACATGGCATAAGATACTTTTCCATGTCGTAGACTTTAATTTAAAAATTTTGCATGGGCCACTATCATGTTTTCAAAGGGAGTCGAAAATTATTTAAGTATCTGGAAGATATTAGTAGGAGAAATATTATGCAACATTTCAATAGTTGTTGTACATGCAATGACTACACCTTAATCTCATTTTAAAAGTTTTTTAGTGAAATTATACGAGAAGAAGAAGAGGAAGAAGAAGAAGAAATAATTAAGACATTTCAGCGTTATTTCCAAGTTACCAAAGTATTTCAAACAGTCCACAAAAGAAAGAGTACAGGAACGGAAATGGAGAGACCATCTGAGCAGCAATTTCTGGGATAAGGGACTTCCCAGCTCCTCAAAACCTCTCTCGGAGCGGTCGCTTCTAGGACAGTGCGCAGCGCGACGACCCGGCAAACGAGCCTGCGAGATAGACAGGGTGGGGTGGGGAATGCAGCACAGATGGGGACGATGATCGAAACGACGACGGAGGAGGTGACGGTGAAGGAGGGACGGATGGAAGTGTAGGCGGCATGAACAGTGTAAAAGATGGACTGATAAAGGAGGGCGTAAGAAAAGACTCGAGTCCGGAACGATGGGGAGCACTGTTCAAGATACATCAATGGCATACAAGAAAAGTGACCCAAATGAAAACATCATTTTTCAGAAGAGCCATTTTAATATTTGTCATTATTTTCAGAGTGAAGTACATTGACTCTTACACAAAGTTAATTATTCCTACGATCAAGAAAAACGTAATATAATAGAAGATTTAGGAATCCATGGACAGTTCAGCATCAGACTTATTCAACCCTTTTACTATCATCCCTTCTTGGACAAGTGACACGTTGCGTGAAAATAATACTAAGATTATATGTTAATTTCATCTTGATACATTAATAATCGAATGCATTAAGACGAAATATGACACTTTTCTTCATAATACCCCCAAGAAACAGGCACAACTTGAGATATGACGTTCATCTTGACTCAGCTGAGATGTTTCCTGTTCAGCTGCAGGACCTCAAGAAATTGTGACGTTATTCAAGACAACAGCCAGTAGTGTTTTTCAAATGACAAAACAACATTACCCCCATAACGCGGGCAATTTTATTAAGTTATGACATTTTCCTAGATACAAATATGTGATGAGAGGAATGTTTTCCACTTCTTAACTCCAAATTGCACATTTTCGACATTGTGTCACATTTCTTGTGTGCATTGATGTGTGGGGACGCGAGGGGGAAGGGCGGAGAGGCGGCGTGAGGTGAAGCACCGAGGAATGTCGCTGCATGGTGGAACACGACGGGGGAGCCCACGGAGTAGAGACACACGGCGAGGTATGGGACGTTTCATGGGGGACGCGGCATGGGGGTCGCATTGATTGATTGACTGATTGGTTAGTGATTCCGGGCGGGCCAACAGCTGAAGTCAGTATTCCCGTAAGTACAGTGCATGTTTTCTTCGATAGCTGGCTGTGATCTTCCCCCACTGGATGGTGTGAACGGTTTTTTTCTTTCAAACACATATATCTCACCATCGCCCCCCCCTAGCCAGGAAAATCACTAAGCTTCCGACCGGTCTCCCGACTTAATGTGATTGTCTAGTGGTTGTGAGTGTAAGTAAAGAGTGAGGATAGGCCAAGGATGAGGAAAGAAAGATAATGTGCGGTCCGTGGTTCATTTGGTAGCATATGCTCCGGCATTCGTCTGGTATTGATAGGTGAAACCACGGAAAAGAACCCATAATAACAGCCGACCGCTAGAATTCTCCTGCCGACAGCCTCTGAAATCGACCTAGCTATCTAGTTAGAGTCGAAAATCCAGCCACCATCGGGACTCAAACCAGGAATTTCCAGGTGAGAGGCACTGCAGTGGTGATGATCGTGGCGTGGGAGGACACCGAGTGGGGGACGCGGCGTGGGGGACGCGGCGTGGGGCGACGCGGCGTGGGGCGACGCGGCGTGGGGCGACGCGGCGTGGGGCGACGCGGCCGTCGGGGCGAGCCGCGGCGTGGGCTGATTCTGTGTAAGAGGGACGATAGGGAAAGAAGATTATGTTAAGTTGGTATGAAAGAGGGGGCGAAGGAGGAAATGAGCGGCGTGGGCGAGGAGGCCGGCGCGGATTCAGAGCCGCGCATAATTGCGAAGGGCAGGGTGGCGACCGGGGGCGGCGGGTTGCAGCAAGAAAGCGCGAGTGACTGCAGCGAAATGAGGTCGACAAACTGGCGAAGGCTCGGGTGGCGCTCCGCGCAAACGCCAGATGCGCAACAGAGCGTCCCATCGGCAGACAAACAGAACGCCTCACGCCTCTCACCGTCATACACCTGCTCGTAGCATGTTTGAGTATTCTCTTCTCTGTTTTTTTTACCGTAATGTAATCTAAAGATTGTTGCCATCCGAAAGGAAATGTTACTATAGTGTATGTGGCAAGTACATATCTATCAAGATCGAACATATCTTTGCCTGTCGTTAGATATGATCAGCATTACAACTATGTATTTTTAATCGTCAAAATGAAATGGAGAAAATGCCTGTCTCTGTTCCCTTTCAGAACCAGATGCAAATTTAGCAAAAACAAATTGTCATGCTTGAAAATATAACTTATGTAAGCGCCGCCCGAGTATCTCTAGCAGTTTATGTTATGATCTACCGATGTATTGTATAATTGGTTACAAGTAGTAAGGATAACAGTATGTTATAACTTTATATGTTTATTAGTATTATCTATGTTATTTTATTATGTTACATTATTGTTAATGTAATTTGGTAAACCTCGAAAAGATGTTATGTTCATGCTCTGATTTTCTGTCTGATGATGGTTGTAATATAAGTAATATGTGGATCCTGTATTATGTTATGAGCAAGTACTTCTGATACTTTTGTTTCATGTATAACACGCATGAAGGTCATAAGTGTCTGTATAACAACTGAATTAAAAATTTTGTCGCTAATAACCTTAGTCGTTGATGCGACAAAAAATAAACAGAGAAAAAAAGGGGAATGTTGAGATTCTTTTGTGTATAATTCTGGAATTATTTATCTGATTTACATCTAAGAAGAATTTTTGTAAAAAAAAAATTTCGAATTGAATTGTCCACTAAGACGTCTACGCTATTCCTCATGTGATTCTTTTAAATTCCTCATGAAGTTCTTATTGAAAGACTATAGGATATATTGTTTATCGTTATCTTTTGTTCATTGGGAAATAATTATTTTGTTATGCTATAATAATCAATCTGTTTAAATCGACAAATTAATATGAGGTCATTTCTTTAACAGATACCAAACTAATATTCAGTTTAACGCCGTGTCTACTTTTGAGGAAATAGAATGAACACATCCTACACATTTTTGAAGTGCTTGTAAATAAATTAGAGGTCAAAAGGTAAAATGCTACAAGTAAAGACGAATTCAACTGCTTCGTCGTTCGTGAGTTTGAGCTGAAACATGTTTATAACAGGCGTGCCCAAAGCGTCACTTTGAAATCAACACCAAATCGTGTTCAACATCAGACCCATGGGACGGTTTTGTATCTATCGCGTTCCATAAAGAAGGCAAACAGGATACTGTTTGAACGAAATAACATGTTAATACGAGAGGGTACTGCCTGGCTAACGTAAGTGTTATATTTCGTATTACTATGACATTGCGATCATGTGGAATGTTTCTTTCTCAGTATTATCGAAGTTCATTTAAACATTCCAAACTTTCTTGTTTACGATACGCCTTGTGGGTTTTTTATGAATACAAAACCTCAATACCATAAAATTATTTTCTTTCCTTTATAGTTTTCTAATTATATCATAGAATTATTGATTTGCATTATATCATTTTCTTCTTCTCCCCTTTTAGATAACTTTGATGCACTCGCGTTAACTGATGAACACAATTTGAATTATACGAAGATTGTACATCATTGATTTACAATTTAATATCCGCGTTGCACAATAAAACGTGACTAGACTTCCCTACCCCTACATGTCACACAGTTTTCAATTGTTTTTCACAGTAAATAAATAGCCACACGACCCACCATATCGTTTTTTTCGCCTATCGGAAATTACTAGAACAGTTTCCCAACACAAAATTACAGCATTGGTTGGACAGATGCGGGCAGTCCTCCTTAGCGCAAATAAGACACGTTTAACTGCAATAGGTACGATAGAAAACTTGCCGTGGGTAAACAAGAGTTGAATATTTTCCCTCTTATCCGTGTAGCTGCTGCAATGAATGAAAAGGGCTTGCCCGCATTCTATTTGTACAAGAGAGTAAGTACAGATTCACCACACATTTTTGGAAAGCCACTTTAATATCGGTATTCCGAAATAGAACGTGAAAACTTGTATGTACTTGTGGACGCTTCTCATTTCTTTTAAGTTTGCGAATATCTATTCTTTATTAAAACCATATGCGTTTGTGAGTGTTTCATTAAAACTTGTGAACCAATAAAGTCGTTGGTCTCGAATTTTGCACTGACCCTTTTGAGATACCAAGACATTTGCAATTACAAAATATTACATTTGAATTCACCACAGCTACTAGAAACGCTGCAACTCCGGATGCATGCAGACAACTAGAGACGTGGCGGGACAGACGGGCGGGACGGACAGACGGCGTGTGGGTGAATTGAGCTGTATAATAGGGTGGGATAAATAAATACCAGTGTAATCAGCTAGTAAGGAAGAACAGATCTATTTTTGAATGTGAATAGGAATGGTCTTTTAAATCATAATTATTTTTTTTATTGTTGAGTGCTACATATTATTACCTCGTAATGCCTTCGTATAAATTATAACCGACGGTAAATGCGATTTTGAGTTTTGCACAACGGAGAAGAAAGAGTATTATCCATTTGGTTCTTAAGTTTTACTCGTCTAGATATTCCAGGGACACGCTAGAACCTTTAAGAAAAATCTCTTCTGTTATCTGACATTAGCAAAACCTCAGTGTTTTCTTCGTAACAACCGTGCTGATGAACTGTCTGGAACATCAACATATCAATTATATTTTGTAACATAATAAAAAAAACATTTATAATGCAATAAATTACTCTTTAAAAATAAAACTCGGTATAAAAAATACACAAATTATTATCAATGTAAATAACATAGAGTAACAAATATCGATGTATGTATATAGGGATATATTGAAACGCTGAAGAAATGTTTTTGACACAACTAACAAATTATGTAATGGAAATATATATGTTGAAACTGTTGGTTTCAATTAATTTTATTCGTTGACACATTAAAAAGGGCAAGAAAGTAAAAAAGAAGCAACACTGAGACCCAAGAATTTGACACTTAAATACCTTGCACTTGGATTTTACCATCTCGTCAGTAGAATTCTTTTTTTTTACAAGTACCCGGTAAAGTGATAATATAATCTAGTTCCATTATTATTTTAAGTGTTAAAATTTGAATTGATAAAAAGGTACTTTCATTATTTAGTGAATTTCGAAATTAGAGTATTCAGTTGCAATTTTATGTGACACATTCTGCATAGTGTGTCTGTTTACATTAGTGATATTTATTTTCAACTTTTGATATCGTTGTTGATATGTTTTTGTAGAACATTATTTTGTCGATACTAAATAAATTTAAGAATTTTACGGCCGAGTACCTAAAATTACAAACTGAATGCAAAATAAAAGTGAAACTATTATAAGACTTGTAAACATTTAACATTGCTGCCAAAGCGTACGGTGACATATTAGTTAATTTATCTTCGAATGGTTGCAAGAAGTGCAGACAGTAACATTGAAAACGTTATCATTTTGGTTCATTTTTTTGTATCGGATTTTAATTTCTACTGTTTCATAGGAATACTACTTTTGATATTTCAGAAGCTCTGTACCCTTATATCAGAGAGACAGTGAAGAAACATGCGACAGTGTAAAAATTCACTAATACTTTCAAAAGGATTTAAAATCGGCCATTTTTTAAAGGATTAACTGGTGCAAATTGTGAAAAATTCGCAACAGACAGCGAATGGTATTCTATACTCCACTCTCTTTGGACACTCAGCAAGTTATACTATTTTGGCCGACTATGGGACGAGGCCTTACAAGAAAGATGTATGTGACTTTAGGATCGCTGGTCCCCAGCCCTAGCACATTCATTTTTTTTCAGTGCCGCACACATTCGTGTTTTTTTTTCGTCCACCCGCCGAACGGAAGTAGGAAGGACGGCGGCCGGAAAGACTCCAGGCGGGGGAGTGGCGCCACTGAGTGCGGGGGAGCAAAGCGAAAACAACACAATGTGAGCCTCGGCGGACGCCGCCGGGGGGAGGTCCTCTGATCAATAAGCCGCCCCCACCGCAGGGGGCCTTGAATAACATCAGCGCAACGGTCCCCGCGTTGTGGTATTTCGTCATTTGGGAGAGACATGCAGGAGACATGCGGGATTCTAAGAAAAACGTACGAGTCCAACGGCTTCTACGCACGTGGTGATTCGTGGTAATAATTTAATAACGTTTCATCGACGTTCAAAGGGGACTACAAGTTTATATTGATGAATTTTTTAGGAGTGGGGAGGAGAATAAAATACCTAAAAATATAGAATATAAATGAGAAAGATTATGTAAATGGCAGTGGCTGTTAGCATATATTTCTCCCGAAAAGTGCAACATAGGAATTTCTTTTCAGTCACTCTTAACTTCGCTTATTTGATTGTTTGCTGGTAATGTCGGGGAACCAGAAATTTGATACTTTGACCTCGAATATTTCAGCGTTGTTGGTAAATTTGTACTCCCTTATTTTCCGTCAGAGATTGCTGCATTGAAAGATCTCAATAATATTTATCCATTACGCGAGATGTTTCTGGGCTAATAATTTCTCCTGGCTGGACATACTTGATAAAAAAGTATGTAAGATAACACGATTTGCAACTAACAGCACAGCTCTAGCAACAAAACCCACCGTGAGATACATAGGGTATCTCGGGAGTCTTTCATCTTATCTGATATTAGAGATTATCCAACACGTTATTCTTTAACTCTAGCATTACCATACAGCCGATTTTCTCTAAAACTGATATTACTCGATCGTTTTATAGAAACTCGATGCTCTCAGAGTTTGATACGGATATTTTGATTTAGGGGAATATTTTACAAGAAACCCTACATCATTTTAAAATTTTATCGAAAAGGAGGCCACATTTCTTATTAAACTGTGTCCTAGGATAACATAAAGAACACTTAAAAGAATAATGCAGGTCTCACTTTGGTTTCATTCTCTAATTTTTCGAAAATCCCAAAACTTCAAAATGTTTTCTCCATTTTCCTACAACTATATTGAAGATTTAATTTTTTAATGAAATCTGTTGTTCAAAGATGTTAATTTGGTACAATTATTCAATAAAATGAGTAGTTTTTACATAATTATGCGTGAAATTTAGGTAATTTATAAATAACTACTTTTTCCAAAACGGTTTCAATTTTTTCTTTAAATTTTCTCCTCGTATGTAACATTAAAGAACGGCAAACAGATAATGCTAGTCTCATTTTTGGCCAACACTAAATTTTCGAATGTTACAAAATAAATACAAAATGAAGATTTCAATACTAGAATATTGAAGTCAAAGATGTTGGTCTAAAACAAAATGTGTTCTAAACATCAGTTCTTTAAAAAATAGGAGGATAATTTCTGCTTGAATTTAATATACTTTATAAAGTAAAATTTTCTCAAAAATAACTCTTAATTTTTGTCTTATTTTGTTCACGGATAGAATAAAAGACGCTTAAAAGAATGACGCAGATCTCATTTTCGTTGAACTCTGAATTTTCACAAAATTGCTAAAATTTAGAAACTGCGTGAAAAAGTGTGTGATATTTTAGCGCTACCAATTTCTAAATCTTATAAAATTTATCACAACTGTTTGTAATAGTATTTGAGATATTTCAACGTCTTTGGCTTTGGTAAAATTCATCCAGACTATTCACTCAAACACTATATAGCCGGAAGATATTTCAAAAATGGCCGAAGAATTTTACATCTAATAAATAAAGATACACCGGCTTTTCCCTATATAAAAATGTGGCACCTTTTATCATTAATTAAAAATATTGATATGTGTGGTAAGATGAAACATTACCGCAGAAACATTCGCAGAAAGTGCGTCAAACGAGGGGTTCTAAATTGCGCGGAAGCTATCGAGAGACCTTCGTTGGAAGCCTCTGGAAATCAGGAGGCTATCGAGGCCGAGTGGCTGCAGTCGGATGATCACCAACCGAGAGACGGTTTCCCCTCTACCTCTACCGCCGCGGACACTGTCAGAGTAACTGCGACTACGAGATCCTGAGTGCGCACACGGCGAAGACCGTGTTTTTTGTCGAGCCGGGTTGTGAGTTTTGCGACGAGGTGTGCTGAGACTGTGTACGGTAACGGACGAAGGTTTGAACTTTGGACGATTGTTAGTGGATTTGCTTTGGTTGCAGCAGCAAATTGTGGACAAGTTTCTGTTAGAACGGTGACTCGGCATTGTAAACGGTATATCTCCTGGCTGTATGGATTACGCTAAAAGTTGCTATGATTGTAGAAATCTGTAAATTGCGAATTGAAATAAAAATCTTTTATTTTTAAATAATAGAAAACTGTGTGTGTTTTTACAAAACTGTGAGGAATTATTTTCTTCAATTGCGAAGCCAGAAATTGAATCAATTTGTTTGATGAAATGAATGCACTTTTTTATTATTGTGCAATTATATCAATTCATTGTTTTATTAAAACCATCTAAAATATCAATAAATTCAAAATTTACGCAGTGTACTCCGTAGTCACCCTCTTTGATAAAAGATGAGACTATTTATACTTTAGAATTGAGAGAAAAATTCTTATTGGAATAAGAGCTAACGCATTAACAGGAAAAATTACATGTTAATGTTCTGAAATCTAGAACAATTGCGACTCGCAGATAAGATGTTTAGCGTGCATTGCTAGCTGTAGCAAAAACGATAGCTATGGAATTATTGCATTATCTCCATTAGCGTGTAGCGGCAATCTCAAGGCGTTTTCTTGTCCCATTTCTCCAAATGTGGAAGGAGAGAGCAATATGTAATATCGATCCATGGCCGTGGATACTGTGGACTCTCAAGGAAGAATTATTGATTTTACTCATGTCATTCTGCGCAGTGTACAGTTTTCAGAAACGTCCATTCACAATAACTCGCATGCATTCCATTTTATTCCTTCTGAAATAATCACTAAGCTCTAGAATCCTAACGTTAGTGGCAACGCTTAAGGCTGCGGAGTCAAGACGTAATAATCTGCTATGAAACTGTTTTTGTTCAAAACGTTTAATTCTTCCTTTGCTGATAGTTCACATTTTTTGCAAATAGCTTACAGTAAAGTGAATTTAAATCAGTAGCACCCAATGGCAGGATATACAAAGTAACTGTTATTGCTGTTATGACTATTTAGAGGCTTTAACTGTTCAGAAATAATAGTGCATATGTGTATTCAAGGATTGAGCAGGGAATCGGTTTCTCTTTCGATCCTAAAAATGAGAATTGAAACAAAAATAAGAATGTTTAAACATTTCGTACCTAGTGGCGTAGTGTGACGATAGTCAAGGCAGAAGTTGACTATCCAAATGTGTTCCTTTGGAACAGATACTTCACTCCTAATTAGGTTTTCGAAGTGCACCATTTTGCGGGGCCAAGGAAATGAGAAATCCCTAGCGTTGCATCTGAGAAGCAGATTATGCTCTGTCTTCCATGTAATATTCGGTCAGGAAATTCTAAGTGTGTATCGCTACTAAGCCCAATGAGAAATATTCGAACTCATATGTGAAGCATCCTTGCAGTTAAGGGACTTTAACCGTTAGGGTTAGCGATGCACTTCTCGCAAGGCAGCGATGCAGGCCTTAAACGTAATTCGTAACTATGTGTAAGTGTTCTTAGTTCCTTTCTCGTATATTGCACATTTTGGTATATCAATAAATATATGTTCATAATGCACAAGATCTTCATTACGAGATACATAGATTTGTGGGCCACTCTTTACAAAAACTCCTTCTTTGGTCCTAATTTCCTGGCTATTCAATACCGTCACACTCCTCAGCTGTTCATATCCTGAAACTAGTTTTCACATCGAATATTTGAATGTCCCTTTCCTCTATCAGGTTATTTGCTCTGTTCGGTTGACAAACGACAGTGCCGCTCCGCACCTCTCCTTCCATGGAATAGTGGAGCGCCACCCGAGTCCCCCCTCCCCACCCACCTCTTCCCACCTGGCCACGCGACACGACGGACAGATTGCGCGTTGCCGCGAACAAGCAATTCGCCAGCGCTACGCGGGGCGCGTTCCCTTCGAAGCGCCACTCACTTAACTCGACGAGGCAGCTTTCGCCCAACATGCAGCGCGGACCTCCCGATAGCGACCGTTTGGAACTATCACAGGCACTATTTCAGCCCGTATCACTTTATCGCTACCGCTTATTCAGAAGAGAGAAAGTTATGTAATGCTGCTCGAAAAAAAAGCGAATTTTCCGCAAAAAAGAACTCTTATTACAGGGCCCTAGTAACGAAATAATGGATAAATCCAGTAATAAGGGAACGAAAATATTGGAAATATCTGAACAATATGATCTCGAATGCTCATATATGCTTGTCATAAATGTTATGTACGTATGTAGGTAGGTATGTTTGTATAATGAATGTGTCTCGCACAACTCTCTCAGTGTAGAACTAAAGCTTGGTCAATATGTCAGAAATAAGATCTAGTTGTACCACACGTTTAAGTGAAGAATTAAGAAATCAACTCAGGCGAGGGGCAGTCAGGAACAAGTGGGAATTAACGTCAATAGGAGCTGATTATAATCGGAATTAGCTGACGGAATTAATCTGAATCCACTGTAATTTGCAGTTTTGGAAATGTTTTGTGTTATGTTGTAAATTAACGCCAAATTGTTCGGGAGTAGTTTTGTTACGCAATTTCGCCCGGTAATTTTCTTTCGCTCTCGCTCTCTCTCTTTCTCTCTTCCTCTATCTCTCTCTTTACTCTCTTTATCTCTCTTCATCCCTCTCTCGTTTCATATGAGGAAGTAGATATTTTTCTACCCGACACATTGTCAAAATTGTCATTTTTATACGTTAAAGAATGAATGAAAATTTCATTCTAGTTGTAAGAGATTTTTAGCCATCAACATTTACTGTTGGCCTCTATAAAATATATATTTTAGAGAACTTACCTTTGATGTCCAAAACTCTATTAATTTACTTCTTATTCTTCCCAATGGGCTTCTTATCTTTTTTCCTCTTGGATATGTTATTCTTCCTCTCTTGCTCCTCTTCTCCTCATTTCGTTCATATCGTTCTCGTTATCATATCGTTCTCATTCTTCTTTTTCTTTTTCTTATTATTTTCCTACTCTTTCTTTTCCCCCATCATTCTCTTTCTCCTCGTTCTTCTTCCCTTCATCATTCTTCTTTTCTCCTCAGTCTTCTTTTCTCCTCAATCTTCTTTTCTCCTCGTTATTCTCTTGTTTTCTCCTTATCTTCTTTTGTCCTCTTCTTTTTCTTCTTCCCCCTCTTTCGTTCCTCCTCTTTTTTCGTTTTTGCTCTTTTTTCGTTCGTCCTCTTTTTTCGTTTTTGCTCTTTTTTCGTTCCTCCTCTTTTTTCGTTTCTGCTCTTTTTATTTTCTCCTCTTTCTTCTTCTCTTTCAACTCGTCCTTCATCTCGATTTTCTTTTCCTCGCCTTTCTTCTCTCCTTTCCCTTCTCATGTTTCTTCTCGGTATTTTCCTCCAATTTGTCCTTCTTCCATCCATCGTTCTCGATCTCTTCTTCTTGGCCAGGCTACATGAAGTGCGCCAGCTTCCGCCCCGTGCCGCATCTCCCGGCGCAGCGCGTGACGTCAGAGCGGCCGGGGCGGCGCCGGAGGGCTCGTCCTTTGTGGTTGCCCGCTGTGACTAATGCCACCCAAATGTCACGTGTTATTTTTACCTCTGCGGCCAGCGCGTTTATTGTTGCCGCTGCCCGCCGGCGCAAAGTGGCCGCTCGCGTTAAAGCCGGAGCGGCGAGCGCGCGGGCTGCGGCGTGTGAATGGAGCGCTCTCAAGGGGGTATTTCCTGGCTTCAAATGCAACCTGTTTTCAAAACTGTTACAGGTCACTTACTGCGTGTAGCTCAGTGCATACTGAGATTATGCACCATTGAATTTTACTACCCATGAACGGCCGTGTGATTGATTATTTTGCAAGGAAGCGATTACGATTTTTTTCGACAAGGACCCGTTTTTAGACATGGACTTCTTCACGTGAAACATCTTTAAAAAACGTCCGTGAAGGATGGGTGGTTTGTTTGGAAAATTCACACGTAATGAAATCATGTCATATATCGCATGTATCTATTCATGCATATTACATTCATCTTTCTCTTTGGTATCCTTGTGTAAGTAAGTGGTTCGATCACGCATTCATTACTTGAGAGAATGATGTCGTGCTGTGTATGTCGCAAAAGAAGTTACATTTAGCTCTACGCGCGACATTCACAGAGACGAAGCTCGGTAGTTGTGGATCATGTGAGAATCTGTGGTCCCGTTTGAAGAAACTTTGAAGATTCACGATGTACGATACACCCACGCTGCCTTATAAAATATATTGCATATAACTGAAACCACTGCGATATCGGAAGTCATAATGATAACAAGTTTGTAATTTGTTGCAGAAATTAGATGCTTCCTTGACATCAGGCTCCCTACGTTCAATACTTGGGATTCAAAACAGTGTGAATGTCAGGACTTAGTACAGTCGGCGTAACAGTCACAATCACAAATACTTTGGCTCTAGTAACTTAGTCTCGTACACATCTGTCGTTCCAGATTACTGATAACCCCCTCTCCAGTTGCCCTGGAGAGGCAGAAATTTATTTGTTAATCTAGGTTACACATTCGCTGCAGCCGGCGAGGCTTTTGCAGCGTGGGCAAGCCTACCTTAAAAATACTAATTTACAATCTAATATTTTAAAATTATATACCTTGTATCTTATAAATGTCTTAATATCTTACACAGATATTAGATAGATTTATTATTTCTGCAGGTAGGTATACAACCTGGTGGCAGAACACTACAGTTTACATATTACAACTAAGAATAGTAATACACTGTAATTTTAAAGCGTTGTAAGGCAATAATAACAATAACAGCATTACCTACACACTTTACTAATAAATACACTTCACTTCACTTCACTACACTTGCACTTCACTTTGCTACACCTCGTACACTTGCACTTCGCTTCTCTCTCTACTTCTCTATTGCACTACACTTCAAAACACGTCACGACTTCACAACACGTCACGATCTCTTAACTCACGAAATCTTAAATTCTTATGAACTAATCGTATAAAATAATCTTATAAACCAATTCAATGGCGTCTTTAGCCTCTGCTGTTCCGGATGCCGGGTCGCTCATTATACTGTATAGCGGGAGTGGGTCACTACCCTGAATAAGCCTGCGATATGACAGGCGAAACGTCGGCCTCTGCCAGCGACGCGGCGTCACCCGGACAGCCTAGAAGTCGTGGAGAGGAACTGACTGTGGATGGAATATTAGTTTGGATTAGTTTGGTTAGATAGGATGGAATATTAATGTTTTGAAACCAAAGCGTTTCTTGTATAACAACAAAACTACTTTAAACATTTCTGTCAAGTAGGAAATTACGTTTTGTAAATGAAATACGATGTTTAAACGCTTACTTTACTTCAAATGACGAATCTAGTGTTGCTCGTAAGTGGATCATCTAACAAGGAAAGCTACCTGATCCAATGCAAGATTGTAATGTTGAAACTTTTCGAGCGGTGCAGAGAAAAAGTTCTCTTCACATATTAAATAGGTTTTGGTAAATTCCAAATCTTAACTATTGACTCAAATATATTGATACCAATACATTTACGTACATAGCCTATGAGTATTCGTTGTTTATTTGAATTTTAATACTAAATGAGTAAACTTGCCCATCACTGAAGTATTGATAAGAAAACGTGATTATTTCGTGATGTATTTTCTATCTTGTGTGACGTACTTGATTCTGAGCAGACCAGTAAATTTACCTACCGCATTGGTATATTTTTTCAACATTGAATGAAATTATGATTTTGTGTAGTATTCTATTAACATTCATGAGTGTATGTCTTGAGAAGATCAATTATTTTTGGAATCAGTGCCCTTTACAGAACCCAACATCAAATGAAAGTAATTAATAATAAGTTAGTAAGTACTTTTTAATGCGAATATTTTGAAGCGTTAAAAACATAATTTTTTCCACAACAATTTGAAAATTGTTTCAAAAAATTAACATTACATCATTGGTTATCTACAATCATTGACGATAACATGCAACGCCTTATAAGTGAGGAAAAAGAATAAAAAACATAATTAATATAAATAAATAATTATTTGTTTATAACTTATGGATTTTATTTTATTTTTATTTATTATTTACTCTTTTTCATTATTTGCATTTATTACATCATACTTTATTTTATTTCCTCGTCTTACAACGCTTACGTACTAAAGAAACAGTTTTGCTATGATGAGGCGGAAATCGGCGAATTTTGGACAGAAAAACTCATATTGCGAGGTCCTGGTAACGATAAAGAGGTTATATATTGTTCCTATAAGTAGTAAATTACTACCTCTAATAAGGTGTGAAATCAGAATTTAAGTATTGTGGATCATTCGTAGCGAAAAATTGATTGAATTAATAAAAATCTTTAAATAAGGTAATATACATTTTTCAAAAAATTTGTTTTTTGGTTGGTTTCTTTGTTTTTCAATTGTTTTTTGCGTAATGTGTTTGAATTTTATGCAATTTATTTTTAAAAGAATTCTGAAAAACAGTTAAAATGGTGTCTTTAATGTTTTTCTTCAATAAAGGACGATTAAATTAACCCAAATATTGTTTTAATTCAACATCTTTTTTGAAAATTGCAAAAGTTAGAAATAAAGCGATGAAGAATGTACTGTTGAAGCACATAGTTTTCGTTTAAGATTTTTTTGAAGCTTTGTTGTAATTGAGCACCATATTGTGTTCAGTGGACTTCGTAAACTTCTCTCTCCAATGTGGCAAACCCTAGAAAGAAAACTGTTGGTTATGCTGAATCACATTTCGGTGTCAATATTTAATATGTTTTCATTTATGAATGAGACCATTTTGTCATGTTATAGCTTGCTTCAGAGGGTCTCTCTTTTAAAACAGACCTAACTACACTTTTGCGAGCTCTAAACATGAGAGTGTTCTGAGTCTTAGAATTTATTCAACAAGTAATATCTGCTCAACTCCTGAATTTTTTACAGTATTTCCTCTCTTAGTTTCAAATAATAATAATAATAATATTAATAATAATAATAATAATACATATTTTAAGCGATTACGTCTTACACACTTTTACGAATTTTTTACGCACTTAATAAATATGATTAATGATTTTCATTGTAAATAAGATAATGAATAATAATACTGTGGAATTTTTAATTGAATAATTTAATTGGGTTATGAGACTCTCTACCAAATAACTTCGTAGCTTTCGTAAAATGTTTTTTTCATATTGAAGGTCAAGAGAATAATCTTTACACAATATGATAAATATTTTATTGAATATGTTATAAAAATTATGTCAAATCTAGTTTTGGGGAGATCTTCAGCACAGGTATGTTAGTGCATGGATAAACTGATTATTGAGATTACTTTATTGTAAACAAAACAACATAATTAAGTAGCACAACAATGCTACTTTTGTTTGTTAATACTTGATTGCAATTCCAATTGGAATCATACATTTTCCGTATAATGTGTTTAATTAAAGTACAAGAACTATTATTCTCTGTTGAATTTCTGCCTTCATTACCAGTAGAAATTCATTTCTATGATAACATTCAATGATTCAATGAATGGGTGAAGACCAGAACGGTATTAGTGACATTTTATAAATTCTGAGAAAAACGTAATTATTTTAGTTAATATGACAGTGGCAAAGTATATTCGTGGTTTTCATGAACAATTGAAAAGATGTAGATTTAATGTTGAAAGCATCACGACTTCACAGTGATATTAACAATGATATTAACACTTAAATAAACAGATTTCTCAGAATTTATAAAAACCCGCTTATACCATTCTGGTTTCTACCCATTCATATATAAAGTTATTACACAGTAATCAAAGAATCAAAGAAGTATCTAGTTTTAATTCTGATCATATGTCTACATTCGATTTGAATTATATATAATTCATGATTTACAAACTTTAACATTAAATACCTCCAAAGTTGAAAAAAAATTATATAAAACCGTCATTGCGTTCATCCCCTTACAATGTTACAGATCTAATCTTTTTGTTACATCCGTAAGTATGATTGATTATTTATGAATTCTGGTTATTTATGATTTCTGGATGCATGACTTCTAGCAAGAATTTGCACATACAACAAAATGTCGTGTAGTTGCTACAGAAGAAAGAGTTGTAAAAAACGTATTATAAAAAAAATACATCGCTTCCGTTTGATGAGAAAACAAAAGCCACATTGATAATATATTGTAGTGCATAATTACACCTATTATTATATTATTTTTTCCTTCAATTAATAAGAGAATCTTGTAACAAAACTGAAGGACTTGTAGGCAAATAGTCATATGACTCTTCACACTGAAATTAAGAATGAGTTGTAAGATAAACTAAGTTTAACTTACTGACTGTCGTTTTTACGAATGCAACATATGTTCTCCATACAATTCCTGAGTAGTCTATTTGATTTCTTTGCTCATAAATTGTAATGACGGTCGTTGTGTATAATCTAAGGTTCATGTGAGCCTATTAGCGACATTGTCGGTTCGGGCGATTTCGAGATTACTAAAAACAGAGAATACTTGGTAAAGAACGGTCGAAGCGAACAGTTTGCAAGCTGAGTTTAATTGAACGAGTGGAAGAAGCTTCGATCACATCAATATCGTATCCAAAAACTTGAGTTGTTCATCCGAACTGGTTTTGATCATTTTACGTCATTTTTCTCTGGTTTTAGGGTATTTTAAAAACATTTTACGAGCATTTTATTGATAATTTTTGGCGATGTTTTAGGTGATCAAAATCCGCCTCCTAGTGATAACACAATTTACCAAAATATGAAATAGAATTCCAGGTGTTTCAATTTGTAAAAGTAGCTTGCTTTAAAATTTAAAACAATTTTAGATTATTTAATGTTTTCATATTTCTCAAAACCCGGAGGGTCTTTCAAGTTGACGACGAGATGAGGTCCAGAAGTGATGAGGTGAGACGATGACGTGACTTGGTGTCACATAGCGTGGCGTGGTACAGTATGGCGAGGCGTGGCGGAGCGTGGCGTGGTATGATAAGGTGAGGAGTGGCGTGGAATAGTAAAACGTGACGTGGCGCGATAGGATGAAGGGGCAAGAGATAATGTGACGTGGTGATTTGGCGTGTGTGACGTAGCGGGGCCTGGAGGATCGTGACGTGGTGGAGCGTGGCGTATTATGGTAGGGAGTGGCGGGCAAGGCGT